GTGCACACGGTAAATGACTTTGTTTTATAGATTTGATTATATGTTTAATACAAATTTAGGACTTTTTTTAAAAGTTTTTTAGGGAATATATTGAACCACTCGACTGTGACTTTCTCTTTTCTTTTTTTTAAATAGTATGCTCTGAAAAAAATTCATTGTTATAAAACCCAGACCTTTTTGCAACACCTGATGTTGACAAATATGTGGTGAAATACACCTTCATTATAATATTACCGGTAAGTATCTTGAAAGAAGAAATTCACCAATCAGTGTGTGCCTACCTTCTGTTGCAGGGGAACAATACAATCAGACAATCAGTACCCTATTTCTAAAACAAGCACTGAATGGTCATTTGCTTTTATGATGTTTACTCATGAATAATGCAAATCAAAATGTATTTTGGTACAAAAATGTATTTTGATAGAGTATATTTGGAGAGTAGCAAGAAAATACTACAATGGTGGGCGAGAATGTGAAAGTTCGGAAGCAAAAAAAGAGAAAGAGAAAGAGATGGATGGAAATCCCTGTCGAGACACCTCTGATTGCAAAAAAAAAGTTTGCTGGATATGTATATACATAAAAGTTGCTGGAGAAAACACAGCGGGGGTGATAGGATATATTCAGTTGAAAAGATGTGGATGCGGTCTCCACAGCAACCACCTGTAGATAACATAGCTATTTATAAAAAAGAACAATAATCTCATGGATACGTGTATGTGCATGAGGAAGGCCAGCTGTCATTGATCTATTTCTCATTAGCCTAGGGAGTTCTAATACAGTAAGCAGGAAATCATGTTGTATTTCATGGTGATTGTATGCATCAACAAATCTTACCAAATCCATTTTTTTTTTACCAACTTTTTCACTTGCAAATCAAAGTATGCCCTCTATGACCACAATTACAGCTGTGACACGAAGGTCATATTGTTTAGATCACTGAGGTAAGCACTGTGATTTTCTGGTGTAAATAACAATGTAAAATAAAAAACAGTTAAATTTTTAGTGGTTTATATTTCAGTCATATTCATTTTCTCCCACCCCACCAAGCCAAAAAAAAAAATATTTTTTTATTCTCATGCCTCAAAATGTATTCATACATGTACACATTGCCCGCTGTAGGAACCAAGGTTATTGATATTGTTTGGGGTAAAAATGTGTGTGTTGCTCAATGTGTGATTTTTTTACTGATTAGCATCATGGTTAGAAAAAAGCTATTATATAATGTCCCTTTGTATACAGAAATGACGCAATACCTCCAGCATGTCCATCCTCTGTCTTAGATTGTAATTTCTACTGTAAAACTCGGCAGTCAGATAATCAGCAACCTGGAAACAATTAGAAGAGTGTGGATCTAGAATCTATGTCTTTTGCAAGGTCTCTGAGACCTATATAACAAATGCATAGACACGACTGAACACAGTCATGACCAGCTATTTATAGAAAATTTGGTTATAACTGAAAATACCATAAATGTAAACAAGTACAGATCACATGATTTGGGGGATTTCTCAGCATGCAGCATTTAATCTGACCAATAAACAGAAAGTATTTTATGCTTGCATGGCTAATAAGATAAACCAGCCATGGTGTCTAGGCATGATTTAATGTACAGGTTTCAGAGAAAAATCAAATTGAATGATCTTTCAAAACATATCTTTGTAGATTGCATCATCCAATAACTGCCAGACCCTGGACAATATGAAAATCATCAGTGAGGTATGGATTTGGAAAACTATTCCAGTCTGCGTGTTTGACATTCGAACGGGTCATTACCAGGTATGATTGAAGTGCCATCACGTGTAAGATTGGTACATGTACGAAACCAGTGATAGCAAATGAACAAGTTTGAGGCAAATTTGATAGTGTTTCGATTGATTAAGGATTCTTCTGAATTCAGTGCCACCTCTTCTTTACTACGTGATCACATGATGGAATATTGGCGGCAAGTAAATCCTATCATATCATTATTAAAAAAAAAACATTTGTTTTTTGTATTTTCCGTTAAAATGTCAGGTACAACACTTTTCACATTTTCGTAAATTGCCCATAATTTCTTTGTTCATTTTCAACTAAAAGGTATCTAATTTGTCATTGTTCATGCAGCTTCATTAACACATACTTTGCAGGATTATTCTTTGAGCACTACAATTTTTCATGCTATAAATTTGTTACAACATTTTGCAAAATATTCTGTATTTTCATATAATTTCATTGTTAATTTTTACCCAAATGGACATAATTTTTTTTTTTTCAACAGGGTTTGAATAAAATTGTTTAAACATTATGAAAAAAAAATTATATGACCATATTTTGCGATAAGTGTTCAAATTTGATATCGACATTTAAAAGACTCAAGAACTAAACACTAAAGAACTGATTACCTGTACTGGGCATTGTACACCAATGGCAACCATGGCGGAATGTCTTAAGTATCGAAAGTTGTCTATGGCAAAGTTATCTTGTAAGTGCAGCAGTAATTTCAGAAATTCTACACAGACCTAAAAAGAACAAATAAGTGTTTTTTAAAAAAAAAAAAAAATTGCATACTGTGCTGAATATGAGGTCATATGATAGTGGTTGTCATGACTATGCAATCTGACTAAAAAATAGAACTGCTGAACACAGAATGTGGTACAGCATGTGAAAGAGATAAAATGTGTACAATATGTGCAGATATTTATTTTTTTTAGAACAAAACTATGATACTTTTCTGTAAATTATCGATAATTTAATATTGTGAATCCCAAGAAAGTTTAATGCCCTTGAAAAATTATTTCAACAGTAAATACATACCACTCTATCCAGTGTCACTTTTCTATTTTTGTTACTCATTTGTTTGTAATAATTGAACAGCTTTATGAATAATTAATCACATGACGTAAGGCTTAGTGACATCATCTGACTTCATGAATAATTAATCACATGACGTAAGACTTTAGTGACATCATTTTAAAACAAATGATGTGAAAAAATTGCTAACTAACAGAAGATCAACAGCAATACTGTTTTCATAAAATTCACATTGTTGAAAATAAAAAGTTTGCAAAATTCATGGTGTCTTAATAATAAACTATAAAAACTACACAATTTTGCAATTTTCCGTGCCATGCAAAATTTGGTAACATGTGTTCAAATAGTTATTTACAGTATACAGTAATCAAGAGACCTTAGAAAACAAGGTCAATGTGTAAACATATAAATTATTACATATGTACTGCAGTTTATTTTGATTCGTCCCTGAAATCAAAATCAGTATTTCCACACCTCATATGCAAATGAGGTCTGAGAGCAAACAAAGTAGTCCCTTCAGGAGTACCGTTTTTCAAAACATAGCAGAAATAAACAATATTTAGGAGTAAATATTTTTCCGTTGGGGTACATGAATATACTTGCTGAGTGAAATGAAATGAACATGGTATTTCCATTGGCTACCAAACTATTTTTATGTTGTAAACACATTTTCATCTGCCATTTTGTCCGGTACAAATCGTGACATTTTTGGCATGGTAGGTGTACATCACATGGAATACTACGATTGGGAGAACTTAATTTATGTTGACCACCTTGAAACTGAGTTTTATAAATATTGAAGGGCTCTCAGAAGATCCACCCGCAGTAAAATCAGCGATTATATTGAGTCGCAACCATCATTATTTTACAGTATTCTATCTCACCTCTTGTAATGTATGTGGATGATCTCTGACTAACTTTTCAGCAACTTTAATACAAGCTTCCAATCTATCAGGATCATCTTGATTTATTAAACCTGTTAGAGATATACACAGACAATACATCGTCACATATCACATTCACACACGTGCAAAATCATGAAATGAAATCACTAAAAAATTTCAGAATAGAACATCTATATGTAAAGTAGGTAGTAAGCACAGGGAATATGTTGAAAAGTTGTTAGTTCCCTGGGGTTACTTAGCTCCGAAACAGGATATCATTTTCTTCTCAATGCACGGCGAGTTGATTCTCATTGCCATGCTGTTATACACCTGAGACATACTGCAAGTGTGCTAATTAATTGCTAACTATGCAAATTAATTAATTGAGCTGATTAATTCGAAACTAATACCCTGGTATAAAGAGACACCTAATAAAAGAATTTTCTGGTCCAGTCATGTTTATTGACATTATGAATAACCTTTTTCTTGTATTGGTAAAGTACAGAAAAAAAAACAGTTATAGTATAGTTATAGTAATTAGTATGCAAATTTGCTAATAACTGGAGATTATTGTAAAGTATTATCATTCATTTATTTATCTACACAAACAGCGTGTATTGGAAATTGTTAACTAGTATGCAAAGTAGCTAATTAATATGCATAGAATGTTATAAATGGCATCCAGTCGTAAATTTGAATCAGTAACCAGGACAACAGTCATAATACATGACCGATAACGTACCCTGTATGCATTGTAACAAGCTTGATTATCATCAATCAGAGAAATGTTGAAGAATTTTGACGATTAATAGATGTTTTTTTGCCATATCAGTAATCATAAAATTGCTCACATTAAAGTTTTAGGTACCACATATACTATCAAACAAAAACTTAGTAGTATGGAAATAAATTTTTTCCAAGTTGCCATGGTTACATGACCTTTACCTTGCATACAGTCTCTTATATACATTGGTGATTTAGTACTGTTAACTTTCACGTCATGTGACATGTCATAGGGTTGAAGGTCATCATCACTGCAAGAAAACAAAAACATATTAATTATTATAAAAAAAATACTAGACTGAAAAATATATGATCTAAGTTTTGAATAATTAATAAAATAATTATTAATTTCATCCAATAATTCATAATTTTACATTGTTATTGAAAGATTAAATAATTAAAAATGCATTTGAAAATTATTACTCACCACAATAATAATTGAGTAAGTGCATATTATCATTAAAAAAAAATTTGATATATATTTGTTGGCATTTCCTGTTTTTATACATACCTATCTAAGGTTTCATCTTCTGCCTTATAAAGACGGTCACTGTTTTCTTCACCACACACATCTTCTTCCGCCTCCTCATCAAAATCTAGCTCAGTCAATAGGCTGTAAAAATACCACATTATGTAAATGTCAAAACCGCCTTAACTACAGTTTGTCAAAAGTCTGCATTTTTCACATGGTTGTCCTTTTATAGCCTGTTCAACAAAATTCACACAAAATTTTTTTAACTTTTGATCAAACCAGTGATAAATAATAATATCAACTTTTTGAAGATAATGGACACTTCATATACCAGTTATGTATTTATTGTGAAATCAGAGTGATGAAAGCATTATTTAAGTAATTATTTTGTAAACATTAAACAGCAAAATACTAGTATTTAAGCTAAAAACAAAATATCAAATTTCCTCTATGAGTACTTGTGTGAATGAATGAGGTCTATGATCAAAATAAGTCATATTTTAATAATTCTACAATAAATAGAATTTTTCATTTTTATAAGCTTAACTATAAACTGTTAATTTGTCATAAATTCAATATTTTAGTGTGACCCCCCCCCCCCCAATAAAAACCAAAAACAAAATTTTGGCCACAATGTCACTACCACATTAAATTTACCAATACAATGAGCAAAATCCACGCTAAGCAGATAAACAAATGCAACTGTGTTTGTTCAATGACAGTGGTGCGAGTATACATGCTAACAGTTATCAAGGTAGACTGCCCTCCAGTGGCAACTTTTTGCAAGTTATTTGCTTTTAGTGACTATCGGTAATTGTGTAAAGTATTCTTGGGGGGGGGGGGGCTATGTCACAAGACGTTCCACGTTGCTCAGACTCACATTGCTATACAATTTATTTCTATGGCCTGCGCTAGCTGCTGTGGAATTCCAGTCAAAGAGCAGCTGAAAACAGCTAACGTCGAGAAAATAGCACTTAACTGAGAAGTAATTCTGGTAATATTGTCATACTATTCTGGGGAGTCTCTACAACTACCCCAAAGTACATTTTTTTTTGGAAGGGGGGGGGGGGTATCACCCTCTGTTTCCACCGTGATGGTTGCCAGGTGGTGAATTTGCCTGAATACCAATGACTGAAATGCTCACCACAAATTTTACCTAGTAGTTAGACTGAGCTGGAAAATAATTGGTTATCAAATCCAGCAAACCACATCACTGATTGGATAATTGATTATAAGATAGACACCAGTAGCCAATCATGTAACTTGTCTACCCCACCTTTCTATCTGTTCAACACCTGGATTCACAGCTGGCTTTAATAATGATAACAACAATTCAGTTTCATCGTCACTTTGATATTCAAACTTCAAACGCGTGTCTCCATGATCCACGGCTTGCGTTAACGATTCCGCGACGATCATACCAAGTCTTCTCACTTTCATAATAGGACTGTCCAAATGACACTGCATTCCACCGAGTAATTTCCTTATAAGAACTGTAGAGAATACGAGTACACAGCGATTTATGTTATTAAAGTGCAACCAAATATGAGGAGAAGATTGGGGTGTGGGGGATTATACAATGTTACAATATACAGTAAAATGATTCATTTTCACTGGGTTTAAATTTCGCTGATTTACCATTTCAGGCATATTCACTGGGTTTTAAATTCACGGTTTTATCACTTAGATAACGTGTTCTATGCTAAATTTTACATATTCACTGGGTTTTAATTTAGCGCATTTTCTAGTCAGCGAAATAAGCAAAATTAAAACTCAGTGAATAATTAATCCTTTTACAGTAGGTTACAACAGATTAACACATTGTACTGTAACAGCCATACCAGCCATAATTCACTTAATGATGTCAATTTTAAAGTGTTGGTAAATTACAGAGACAGTGATTTTATTTGAAGTTTAAAATTTTGTATACTTAAACATTTCATGGGTAACTTTTTCAGTGAGGTTATTCAAATTTAGAAAGTATCTTGACTGAAAAGGTCATTTTATACAAGTAAATGTACAGCAAAGAAACTGAAATTATATTGACTTTACAAACAGATTGCATTAGATTCATCGCCTGATAGCAATTACAGATAACAGACAAATACAGTGGCATTACTGTGTTAAAGATCACAATGAAATCTTCCCTGCTACAAAATTATACAAATTATATGATTTATAAATTTTTAATAATTTAAAAAAACTTGACTAATGTGAAAAAAAGCAGTTTACAATACTGTAGGTACCGTATAATGATCATTAACAAAACCTGTTATAAAACGCTTAATTTTCAATGCTAGGAGTTTTTTCAATGAAATGATTTCATGGCATTCGTCAAAAAAAAATATTTTGTGAAATTCGCTGACACTTCATTTTTTACATGTATGACCACGAAGAGACATTTTCACTGATACAAAATATACAAAAATTTCTAGCAAAATTAAAGCAGTTCACACTGTAGTTTGGATGGCATGTGGATATTTTATTGATTAGATTTTTGACAAAGATTGCAGGTAGTTCCTTACGATCTT